CAACCTAGTAAACCACCTTCAAAGTCTAAGAACCTTATACATAGGACACATTGGGAGTATTTTATTTTTAAACAATGTTTTTGTGTTTCTTAGGTGAGGAATTGGACCAAAAGGTATGCCATTTATTAACTCTCCTTTTTCTTTTCTTTTTTTAAATAGGTAATTGATTATTTTACACATGGATTCTTTGGAAAAAAAATATATAGTAAGGGAAAAAGGATGAATTTAGAGTTAGAATGTCTGTCATTATCCAAGAAGAACAAGTTACACAAGGATGGATTTTCTGTGCAGACCAAAAGATCTTGTGTAAAAGACTTGGTTGCTGATTGGAATAGTTTGAGTAATCTTGACAAAGTGAATTTTACTAGTTGAGAAAAAGCAAGTTCCTCAATAAAAAGAAGAAAAGATATGAGGGAGGCAATCTCCTCATTATTTTTCTTTTACTTAAAAAAAAAGAATTCTAAAAGATCATGAAAGGGGCAATCTCCTCATGTTTCTAGCTGGCGTGACAATTGCTTGGCTCTAATTTCTCATTCCCTTTACATACAAATGGCTGAAGTTGTTCTTGACAATGAAGAATCCATGTGTAAAAATAGAAATAAATAATTAGAAGTTAGGTTTACTCATTAATGGGAACTTTGGGAACTTATCTTTCAAAATACCAATTAGATAAATTCATGATTTGTTAATAATGCTCATATATTTTGCAGGTGCTAAAAGATTGGTCCTAAAAAGAATTATCCAAGAGTTCGTTCACCTATTCTCACTAGAGCTCTTGCAAGGAAGATGGCTGACGAAGCTAATTTAGACAAGGTCGCTTTAGAAAATCGTGTTGAAAATATGGGAAATACTTTGAAGGAATTGATGGCTTTCTTCCAATATCTTCAAGCAACCTTAGTCACAAGGGCACCTTTGACAACAAATCCCTTGTTTGAAGGAAATGTTTCTGTGGCAAATCTCCCTATCGCCATATCTACTCTTGGAAAGGAGCCAATGTCATCTTGCCCACCAAATCCAACTATTGGCAGAACTTCTGGAACAAAGCTATTTGATCTAAATGCTGGTGTTGCTACAGCCCAATCTAATGATCAAGAAGAGACTCACGTTGTCAAGTCAATCACAGAGGATGAAGACAAGGCAATTAAAGCGAAGGTGCAGTTGATGGAGGAAACACTAAAATCGATGCAAAGTGTCCAAACCGATAAACCGGTTGACATCTCATCTTTGTGTTTTTTCCCAAACATTCAATTGCCCCATAAGTTTTAATTGCCTGAGTTTGATAAGTACAATGGCACTGGTTGTCCTTATACCCACTTGACGATGTATTGTAGGAAGATGGCTCCTTATGCCAATGATGAGAAGCTAATGATACATTACATTCAGGACAGTCTAACACGTCTTGCAGATGCTTGGTTCTCAACTTTAGACAAGAGTAAAGTAAGAGTTGGCATGATTTGACTCACAACTTTATGAAGCAATATGAATACAACACATCATTAGCTCCTAGTGGAGAGGATCTTCAAAAGACAGAAAAGAAACCAAGTGAGAGCTTTAAGGAATTTGCACAGAGATGGCGTGGATTGGCTGCTCGAGTTCAACCTCCACTAACTGACCATGAATTGAGTAATTTATTCATCAAGTCAACCAAAGGGCCTTATCGTGAGAAGTTAATAACTTGTGTGAATTACACTTTTGCTCACTTGGTTGTTGTGGGAGAACAAGTGGAGGATGGAATCAAGTCTGGAATTATCATGGATTATCAAGCAATGAAGAGTCTCCTTGAACAATACCAAAATGATAGTTTAGGGGTTTCTAGTTCAAAGAAAGTGGGCCAGAATCAAAAGAAGGAGAATGAGAATAACACTATAAGTTCAGTTTATGAGGCGCATAATCAGTCACGGGGGTAGTTCAACAATCGGTTCCAAGCTCCAACTTATCAATCAACGGCTTTCACAAGTCAATCAAGGCCCGTTTATGCCTCTGGGACAAGTCGCCCACAACAAGAGAAAAAGAGACGTTATTTTGATAAACTTCCAACGTCATATACTAAAGTGTTTCGACAGTTGATAGCAGCTAGGCTTGTTACCCCTGTACCTATGGTGCCATTAAATCCACCATTTCCAATATGGTATAACCCACAAGCAAGATGTGAATACCATAATGGAGGTGTTGGGCATGACCTTGAAAATTGTCTTGCTTTAAAGCTCCGTGTCCAAGATCTAATAGATGCAAAGGAGTTACAAATTACATTAGAACCTAAGGTCGTTGGTCCAAATGTCACTAAAAACCCTTTACCCCCACGTGATGGTCCAACAATTAATATGATCGAGAAAGACTCCGATAAAGGTCATGAGGTGACTACATCAACAAATAATGATGGTTTGAGCACTTCTTTTGAGAAGTTGAGCATATGTGTCATTGATGTAGCAAAGGGTGATGACAAGCTTATTTTGCCTACTCATGGTGAAGCTTTAGGCAACAAGATAGCAGAGATTCTTCCTGTTCCTATCATTAAATCATAAGATGTGTCAATCTTCTTGTGGTTGAGCTTGTGACCATGAGAAGAGATGGTTAAAACAAGCCTTTTATATTTTATGAAGCATTGTAGGCATGAAAAATAATGTTCCATTCAGTTCATTTCAATCAATGATGTTACTTTCATTTTCATTCCCTCTCTTCATATGCAAGATTATTCATTCAAATTTCTCATGCTAGCCAAAATTTCCATCTCTAGGTTTGCTGATAATCAATCCACAAATAGTGATATCATTCTTGAACTTACACATAGTTTTGATGAACTGATTTATTCTATGGAAGATGATGAAGAATTAGAACCTTTTCCTGAATTAACTGACATGTTGAGAGAAGAAGAACCTAAATTCCAGCCTAATCAAAATGGCTACAACATAAAATGGGGAGGTCAGGCCTCGAAGGTTTCAAGAAACATATGTTGTTTTGAAGGAAAAGATGTTTTGAAGAAAATTCTGCCTAATGAGAAGGATCCAAGGGGAAATTTTGCTCCAAATTACAATGGTCTTTACATCGTGAAGGCAACTATTTCAGGAGCAACTTTATTATTAGTTTATCTTGATGGAGATGATCTCCCACATCCGGTAAATGCAGATGTGGCCAAGAAATATTATGTGTTGAAAAAAAAAAAAGAAGGGGAGAGAGGAAAAGAGTCTAGGCTGAGGACCTAATGGGGTAGTCTAGGCAAAATAAAGAAAAAGTGTTCATGATGATGAAGTAAAGAATCCAATGATGAAAGGCTATTCTTCTTTATCCTTTGATCATGGAAATTATCCTTAGAAACCCTTTTTGAGCCAAAAGAAAAGGCAAACGTCTAACTTATAAAAGCCTGGCGATTTTATTTCTAAATTGTCCTACATCGAGAGCCTAGGGTGAGAAGAGTGTTAGTAAGGGGATTCAATGGGAAAAGGGAATTTTGAGCCATTTTATCCTTTCTTTCTAATTAGCCGAACCCTAATGTAAAGTCCTTATCAGAGGATTTGTAACTCGCTCATCTATGAACAAAAAAGAAAAAGAAAAGAGAAAAGAAGTGGGGGCAAGGTCTAAGTTGAAAACCTAAAAGGGCAACTTAGGTTAATGACAACAAGAAGATCTATTGAAAGGAGATATTGAAGAAGGAAAACATAGCAGTGATCCTTGAAAAGGGAACTAAGACTGAGTCATTGACCTAAGTGTAAAAAGGGACGTCTTTTCAATGAGTTGAGAAAGGGATGATATCACTATTCTGGAAGAATTGTTGTGCAAGCTTTTCCTGCCTTTTAATTGTTCAAAGCTTTCTTCATACCTAATTCATTGTTTCGTTGCTCCTTAATAAATTTCAAAATTTCCTTTTCATTCTTCATTTCCATACTTTCATTGGAACATTAAATAGTCCAAAACTTGATGCTTCATTTAATATGATTGTTTCATTCAATACTATCTTTGATACACTAAAGATTTGTGATAGTCACAAGAAAATTTGAAGCTGTCTAATGTTTAGAAAAATGCTCAAGCTAGCAGAATGATCATTGCCAATTGAAGAGAAGAGAT